ATTTAAGCTCATACTATCGAATCGATTTTAAAAAAATCAAAAACTGTTCGAAAGATATATGGATAGATACTAGTTGGAAATGATAATTGAAAAATGATAAATGAAATAATGGTTTAACAAAATAAAAGATATTGAATAAACTATAGAAAGCTTTCTCTAGTTTAATTTTGCTTATAGCTACTTTGCTATTGAAGTGTTAAAAAATCAGCAAAAAACAGAAAAATATTTGAATTATTTTATTTCTAGATCTTATTCTCTTGATTTAACATTGAAAATATTTATTTATTAGAAAGAATGTGGTCAAGTTCTAAGTGCTGTCATATATGGAGAGATTTGATACTGCGGCGAGAGCAGCAAAGACTTTGAGGCGGCCGTACTCTCAAACTATCAATTTTACAAAAAACGGTTTTCTAAAGAATTATAGGAAATTTTATCTAGTTTAATTCGTACATAGATACTTTTATCGTAGAATGAGCCAGAGTGGAGTTATTTTGAAAAAGCTGTTTTTTGACGCCATTTTTTCGATATGGCGGCAACTTGCCGTTCAAATTTGAGGTGGCAAAGTTGATTTTCGTAAAGAGCACCTCGAAATCTATAAGATTACCAATTTTCAAAATTCCCGGAGTACTGTACCGGCAAAACGACCAAATGACTGGACTATCAAGGCAAAATACCAATAGCAACTAGTTAACTTCCCGACGGAGAAGTTTATGTTTTCATAAAAAATCCGAATAGCTAATTTTATGTTTTCTTGAAGTTTCAAGCAATTCTGAATCGTATGAGACCAAATTTGGAAAATGTATGTGTGTGTGTGTGTGAACAGATTTTTTGCCATAAATCGACGTTTTCCTCAAAACCGCCTGGAGCGATTTCAAAAATTTAAAAGCCATTCGATGTATCTCGATAAGGACTAGCGTTTTTAAGTTTTGTGCGACGATCGGCAGAGCCGTTTCTTTGTAAATCGCAGAAAAGTGAAAAATTTTTCGTCCACGTTTTAGCTCGCAATTCTGAATCGATTTTGAAAATTCAAAAACCGTCCGAAAGATATTGGTTTGGAATCGACCTGATTAGTTTTTGATAAAGATCGGCCGCGTCGTTTTCTTGTAATAAGGTGTTAAAAAAAATTCGACGATTTTCACGAATTTTTTTTTTACGGTAGATACCATAGTCTTATAGATCATACTAAAATATTACGGTCCTACGACAAGACGTTTAATTTTAAAAAATTGTCAAAATTTGCAATTTTTTTAATTACAATATTTATCACAACTGGTAAATAATTTAACATCTAGTAATAATAATAAACAATAACATAAATTTAAATGAAAAAAGTACAAAATAAAGGATAGTATTTACAACAAAATGATATCCGTAGTATGATGATTTAATATAAATTAAAAGCAAATAATAATAATAATAAAATTATTAAATAAAATAAATAAAATTTCTGAATAATAAAAAGAATACTAGAAAAACAATAAAGTGGAATAAAAATAATAAGTGACAGATAATAGTAAATATATCAAAAATTAGTATCGTTTTTTTTTTGCCATTTGTCAAATTTAGACCTTCGATCGACTTTTTCTCAAAAACGCCTGAACCGATTTCAGAATTTTGAAAGCCATTTGATGTATCTCAATGAGGACTATCGTTTGTCAGTTTTGTGCTGCGATCTGCCGGGCTGTTTCTGTGTAATTCGGAAAAAAGTGTTAACTTTTCGTCCACATTTAAGCTCATACTACCAAATCGATTTTAAAAAATCAAAAACTTTTCGAAAGATATTAGTTGGAAATGATACTGATTAGTTTTAGGTGAAAATCTACCGAGCCGTTTTCTTATAATTAACTGTTGAAAAAAAAATTAATCCGATTTTTATGGAACTTTTTTTGATATCTTGGTCCTGTGGCGCCGGAACCGTGTGGCCTTGAGCCCACCCATGAATTTTGATGGGTTGACAAGCCCGCACTGGCTGCCTAAAAAAAAACAAGACCACATCAAAAATTTGCTTCCGACGACACTGTCTTGGTCTTATAGAACTTACTATTATTCATTTATTTGATTACTTATACTTACTTATTCATTTCACTATTATTACTTACTTATTCATTTGTTTGAAATATTACGGGCTTACGACAAGCAGTTCAATTTTTAAAATTCATCAAAGTTTGGGAAAATAAGTAGTTTTTCTGACGTTTGTTAAAACTGAAATTAGACGATTTACTTGGTATAGCGATAGAGTACTTGGTCTTAATGAAAACTTGTTCAATTATGAAAAATTTTGATTTTTAAACATTTGCTTTTAGAAAATACTCCGAGTTAACGGGTTTGTTCGTTTTCAATTATGTGTAATAAATCCACTCGGAATACTTTTAATCACTCATAAATTAATTTCTTTTTTATAGATTAATTCGATTATATACACATATCGGAAAGTTCATGTAACTTGCCTCAATGCAAAATAACAATACCAACTAGTTATTATATTGTTTCGGAAATTTTTCAACTTCTTATATTTTTATGACCTTTATAAAACTAAATTAAATAAATGTTTAGAATTATATCAAAGTATTATTTGTTAATTAACCATATTTTTATAACCAATTAAAGTATATTTGTCCCGGCAACGCGAAGAAAAATGTATGCTTCGAACGCTATCACGGAATAATGTACAACGACTCCCGGCATTATGTTCACAAGCCGAATTTTCTCACGGAATTAGGGACAAATGCGTGGTTCAGCAAAATGCCGATTATTTCTATAAATGAAATTCTACGCCGCAAAATGTTTTTCTATGATGATCTTATAAGTCTAATTTATAAAATAGAGCTGTTTTAGCTCGTTCACATTCCTACTTTATTTACAAATCGTCTTTAAAGTCCTTAACATCCCGTAATATGTACCATATTCACTATAATGTAACATATGATCGAATAATTATATTTTTGCTAAAAGTCGGTATTTCTGATTAAAATAATTGATTCATTTAAAAAAAAATTCTCATTCAAAATACATATAAGACAGTGCTAATATATGCATATATAAAACACCAATTAATTCAAATATTATCATTATTATTTAAAACATACAGAACAAAATAAACTTAAAGCGTATGTGTTAGTATTGCAACTCAATGTGTTCATTATTATTAATATTTTGTACATCTACCAAACAATCATCAATGTACATTTCATAATTAAATATTATATAAAAAATTAAATTATCTCTTACAAACAATAAAAAAAATTAATACTCATTGGTCTAACAGCAGTATTCAAGCAGAAACGTGAAAACATTTTTGTATTGAAATTGTTGGCAGTATTTTAACTTACTAAGTGAGTTGAGAAGGCAAATACTCATTATCATGGAATATATTTACATCATTACCATATGTGTTACCATATTAAGAAAATTGAGACTTTTAGATACATTTATTCTTAAAACACCTGTAGATTCATCAATAAATTTCCAAATAATATTAATAGGTATTATTATTAATAATAGCCTGGTTGAATACCACTGAATTTCTACTTAAGTATACCACGCACTTGCAATTAGAAAATAAATTAAACTTTAGACACAACTATAATTCAAGTACACATATAATTCTAGATGCGTATTTTTATCCAAGTAAAAGTTAAAAGAAAGTTGCATGCAAGATTTATATCAGCTCAAGAAGATAATACTTAAGTATTATTAGTTATAAATTTATAACATATCACATTTGATCAATTTCATTCCATTTTATAAAAAAACATTAAAAAAACATTGATTAAAATATAAATCTTTCAAGTAATTTAAAAACTTTTTATATCAAATAATGCACCTGTTATATGTTGATTATTTGAATTGATATTCAAAAAATTCCTTCTACACAGTTGCTTTTTAAACTTTGATACCAAAATATTATTAATGATTTATTTAATTATCTAGGCAAATTACATTTTAATCAGATCAATATAGATTAATTAATTTATCAAATACTACATTGATGCAACTTGTTTCCTTTGTGTAAGGCATTTTTTGCAAAACGTATTTAAACGTAAGTCGTATTTAATTCTGAAATAATATTAGATAAGTTTTTACAAAAGTAACCAGAATATGAACTGGATTAAAAAAAAAAGCATTACAGTATGAAACACTAAACATCTAAAACTGTACGTGGACTTAAATTTTAAGATTATTCTCAGATTTTATTGTTATATACAAATTATTAATTTCATACTGTTAATAATTGTTATAGATAGACCTAACATAATTTAATTCTTAAAATCAGTGATGTGCCACTTCAAACTTTTCTTAATTCAAATTAAAAAAACTTGATTCAAATCAATTCGAATTAAGCTTATATATAGACCATTATAAGCTAAAAAATGTTCTATTGATGTATTTATTTAGTAAATTTGATGACAAAGTAAATTCTGAACATAAATTACTAATGAATAAAATATATTACAAAAATCATTATCAGTAATTTGAAATTACTTGAACAAATAATACAAATATAACCAAAGATTTTGGCTCGAGTGAAGTATATAAATATTTATATATTTTGGTGATTTAGAAGAATTCGCTCGAGTGAATCTAAAAGGAAAATTTAAATCATTTGATTCAATTGGCAAATCACTAGTTATAACAAGTTTGCAAAGATGTTGTCTATTAGATAACTCATCAGATAATATAACACTGCAGACTCTAACATTATGTTAACAATTAAATCTGAGAATCATCCTCATAATATCAATTTCTATAATACAAAGTGTCTCAATATCAATCTGATATCACAAATCACAATCATATAAGAGGTAATGCACGTTCTCATGAAATATGTCCATTTTTCAATTTCTTATTCTATTTATATCATTTATATAAAATATCATTATAGCAAAGTTTCTTACTATTCACAACTAAACTTACTCTTTAAGGTACATTCAATTAACAAGTCTTTTTCGATGTGGTGTGTGAGTTGGTATCAACTAATTATACGTTTACTAAATCAATATCTAAGTTAAGGCTTGGTTCACACGTGGGATACCAAACCTCGAGAGGTCTTTGAGTTTTGGCAATGGCCTTTTGGCCCACACATTCACATCACGCATTTGTTTAGCACTTTCTTCTAAGTCTTCCACTTGTTTAATCATTGGGTAAACCTATAAAACAAACAGATAACATGAAAACAAATATATTTGTTGAAAAATGAAAACAAACTATTTGATTTATAAGTGACATTTCTTTATATCATAGTTTCTACAGAATTTTATTGAATTCAAAATTTTTTCGATAATTGTAAATGTTGCTGCTATTTTTGTTGAAGAAAGAGACACAATTTGTATGAGAGAAATAGAGGCCAGTTCGGGGATGTACCGATAAAACTTAACAAGTGTCCAGAAAATTCGATTTAAAACCCTCAAAAATAAACTGTCTCGATATTTTAATGAACATATTTTTCTATTCGAAAAAAAATTTTTTAATCTAAATAAACTGAGAAATATCTACAAATATATGATGATGATGATTGATTAGGAGGCGTCCATTAATCACGTGAGGTTTTTAGGTGGAGAGGGGGTCTGACAAAAAATCACGAAATATCATGTGGGGAAGGGAGGGGTATAGTAAGATATCACGTGTATTTATTTTTTAACTGATTTAAAAAAAACTAACATTTTCAAAAAAAATTAAAAAGATTTACAGTTTTATCATGTAACTGAAAATACACGTGATGTTTGGTGAGGGAGGGGGAGGTAATTTTGAATATCACCATGGATCACCAAGGAGAAGGGGGGAGTCCAAAAATCCTTAAAAACTCGCTCACGTGATTAACGGACGCCCCCTTAGTTATCAAGCGGATAAAAAATACTTAATTACTAAACTGACTATTATGAAATAGTAGTTGATGGTAGAAAAGTGAAAATTAAGGGTTGTATAAATTTTTCATTCTTCTTTATGCAAATATATAATATGTATACATAATACAGTAATACCC